CACACCTATTTTCCATGAATAAAGATCTTCGTAAGGTGTGAGCTGTACTTGTGAGTGCAATTTGATGTATTTTTCAAGGCATGGGCTACCAGGAATCCCTTCACTGAGTCTATCGAAACCTTTTCCAATCAATCTGAGGGCTCCAACTACAACTGGCATTTTTCTTCTTCTTCTTCTTCTTCTTCTTATTATTATTATTATTATTATTATTATTATTATTATTATTGTTGTTGGCGTTGTTGTACGGCTTTATCACATCGGAATTAAATACGACACTGAAGTTGAAGGCGTGTATCACATGACCTTTAATCAACTGAGAAGTGGTAGTAGTAGTAGTAGTAGTAGTATAAACATTAATAATAAATTGATATAATGATATTGATTAAATTTGTATCACTCTAGATTATTGCGAATCTTACAAAAACAAATAAAGAAAAAAATGACTGACCGCTTCGAGAATGGGGAAAATTAATCTGATAGATATTTTATTCACAGATCTCCCTCTCAGATCTCATTTAGTCTTATTAAATTTGAGATACAATTTTTGTAGCCAGATAAGATTAGATCTTGCTTTCCCTTTCTCTCGCTCTCTTGTCTACTTTATTTCTCTCCTCTCTCTCCCCTCTCTCTCCTCTCTCTCTCTTCTCTCTCTCCTCACTCTTTCTCTCCTTTCTCTCTCCTCTCTCTTTCCTCTCTCTCTGACTCCTCTCTCTCTCCTCTCTTTCTCTCTCTCTCTCCTCTCTCTCTCTGACTCCTCTCTCTCTCCTTTCTCTCTCCTCTCTCTCTCTGACTCCTCTCTCTCCTCTCTCTCTCCCTCTCTCTCTCTGACTCCTCTCTCTCCTCTCCCTCTCTCCTCTCTCTCTCTGACTCCTCTCTCTGACTCCTCTCTCTGACTCCTCTCTCCTCTCTCTCCTCTCTCTCCTCTCTCTCCCCTTCTCTCCTCTCTCTCTCTGACTTCTCTCTCTCTGACTCATCTCTCTCCTCTCTCTGACTCCTCTCTCCCTCCTCTCTCTCCTCTCCTCCCCCTCTCTCAAGTCTCCTTTTCTTTCTGTCTCGTATCTCCATATACCTACCACAAGAAATCAGAAAGACAATGCTAGCTAGAGGAGTAATTACCTGTTTATATGATGGTACCCATCAAGGTTGACTGAAATAACAACAACTTGATTAATATGGTCTGGACAGGGTAAGGTGGTTGGTTACTCAAGTGCTTGCGTGTCAAAACCAAACTTTCTGTCAGCTACGGGGACATGTCAGCGACGATACAATGCACGTTCTCAAGACTGATTGCACGGACAAGTGGATTCGTGCCTTTTTGCTACGACATTGGAAAATCTCAATCACAATTTGAACTTGGCTGGCAAATTCGATATGTTACGCCGCTAAAGATGTATTTAAATGTAAAAATAGGTTTTAATACCAGAAATACATTGTGAAAGATTATTGTCAGCAATACATATTTGAAGGAAAATATTACCAGCAATAAAAACTGCCGACATTAAATAACCCATTGTGGTTGATATGCCGTAAAAAAGCAAACCGATATGATAAGACTGCTCCAAGATTCGCGTCAGTGTAATAGAGAAGTGATATGAACACCAGACAGAAGCAGTAGCAGAAAATGATTGTTACAAGATATGATGGAATTTTTCTGTTGAGGCGGATCATGTCCCTGAAGCACGAAGACTTGATCCCGTTATAAGTAAGGATAACAGCAAGTTTTAAATTATTGACTTTGTTGTTCCATATGTCCCAAGAGTAGACTCCAAAGAACCTTAAAAGACAAATACCCTGATCTGTGTAAGGAATTGAAAAAGCTATGGAACATGACTATAGAAATAAATCCTATAGTAACGATAGGACTAGAATCCCGCTTAGAAAAACTGATAGAGTACTGAGATCAATATTATAGACCTCTAGAAAATTGTCATCATTAACTCTGCGAGGATTCCCTGAAAAGTTGTTGTGTTGTGAGAAGTCCTGTTGAAACTATGCCTCAAGAACAGAATTTCCATTGACTGTGTCAATGTGCGATACCAACATAATGATAATAATAATAATAATAATAATACACTACAATTTACTCCTGCCTCAAAAACAAATCTAGTGTCGCTGACAAAACTAACCTGGCCATGCGTCTCGAAAAGGACCTCCAATCAGTTGTGAACTGGGGCAGAAATTGGCTGGTCAACTTTAATGCCTCAAAAACGAAACTGCTCTCTATTAATTATCACAGAGATCCTTCCCTACCCTCCATTAGAATGTCTGACGCTCAACTTCTCGAGAGCACCTCTCTGTGGCTGCTCGGTCTCACGTTGACCTGAGATGGGACAAATACATTGAGTCAATTGCATGGTCCACCGCAAGGAAAGTTGGCTCCTTGTGCCACGCCAGGATATTTTCCTCCCCGGAATCGATCCTTCAGATCTACAAATCAACCATTCGCCCTTGCATGGAGTATTGCTGCAATATATGGTCTGGAGCCCCTTCTGTTTGCCTCGGGGTTCTTGATAGGCTCCAGAGGCGGATATGCAATATAATTGGCCCTGCTCTGGCATCTCGTCTACAGTCGCTTTCTCACAGACGCGCCATCGCCTCTCTCTGTCTTTTTTACAAATACTTTCATGGTAATTGATCCGAGAAGCTGCATTCGCTGGTTCCCTGACTTCATGAGTTCAAGCGCCCTACGAGGCTGGCATCCCAATCTCACCCTTTCACTGTCGAAACTACTAAATGTAGCCGTCTCTCCTACTCCAATAGCTTCATGTCTCGCACCTCTCGCCTGTGGAACTCCCGTCCCTATTCCTGTTTCCCTGGGAGCTATAATCTCCAACTATTCAAATGTAATGTCAATCGACATCTCCAGTTGCCTTGATCTATCCACTATCCTTCTCCTCATCCTTTCCTCTATCACTCCTATCTGATCTTGCTCCAAATCTTCTGTAACACCTTGCGTCCTAGTGGCTTCACGCCTTGCTTGGGGTGAAACACTTAAAAAAAAAAAAGAAAAAAAAAAGAAAGGAAGCCACCAAATAATTGATATGACTTGCCCACGGGATCCCAAGGTTTCTAAATAAGAATTTCCCAAACTATCAAATTATAAGGACATGTAAATCGAAGTGTCAAAAATGTGGAAACTTAAAACTACATCCCTCTAGTTATAGAGTCATTTGGTATGATAAAGAAGGTTACCGAAAATCATGTGAGTAAAATTGCTGGACACCTCGGCATCTCAGAGGCACAAAAGCTTATTCTGTGTGGAGCTGCATATATCATACGCAAAACCCTCTCCAACTAAAGGAAATGCCCCAGATATGCATAGATAACTCTCTTGCAGTGCCTTTTTTACGCATAGACGCCAAAGGAAACTTGGTTATAAGGCACTTAATATTACTCTCTGTCAAGATGATATCACAGACCACAACAACAAACACAACAACAATAATAATAATAATAATTTTGATTCCATACATTGGCATGTTCATGCCAGTTGTGATTATGTTATCACTGATGATGGGTAGCAGCAGTCAGTCAGTCAGTCAATGTGCCATACGTGATCTACGCTTAGGCGATCATGTATCTTTCGATACATGACTGACGTGACAGATATTTTTTCCCGCAGTTGGTTGCCATTTCTTTCTGCGGTAGACCAGTTGCCATCCAAGGCTATAGAACCCGGTCTTTCCTTGGAGGAGAAGAAGAGGATTCATACCTTTCCCAAGAGTATTAGAAGTAGGTGAATGTAATGAATTTGACTGGAATTTGAACTCGGCTCTCCGATTCCCCAATCCGAGTCGCTATCCAATACTCTGCCGGGGTATTCCCAAATCTTGAGCACCTTTCACGGTATGTTAGCCGACACAAGCAATGCCTTCGTTTGTAGAGTACCAATCCTTTCTTGGATTAGTGTTATTTATAATATCGATCCCAGGTTCTTAGACATGGTTCCAGTGGCTCCTACTGTTCTTGGCATAACTCTAATCTTTTATACTACGTCTTTCTCATGGCACAGTGGATAAAGGCGTTGGTTAGATTCAATGACAGGACCCAAAGAGTGTGAGTTCAATACAGGTTAAGGCAGTGGAGAACTTTCAGAGGAAAATTAACAGGAGGTAACTGATAAATAACATGCAATAAACATGGCACGTGGAACTAGAATAGTCTACCCCAGTGAGCGGAATAAATTCCAACCACCTGAAGAAGGCTGGATCGTACAACGGCCGAAACGTTGTGATAAATATGGCGACAAAAGATGAGGACAATAATCCGAATAATGTACACATATACCTATGTTTGCTGTGCGACTAAACTTTCGCTTTATTTCAATATATATATATATATATATATATATATATATATATATATATATATATATATATATATATATATATATAAAAATGAAAAATAAGCTATATCTCGTGCCCGACGAGTTGGGTAACCAGCGAAACTTTACTCACACATCAAACATAGGTATATATATAAATGTATGTATCTATACACACACACACACACACATATATATATATATATATAAAAACTTTTAGAGTTTTATAAAATACCAGGGTGTAGCTAACTGAATTTCGCCTCCCATACTGATAACACATGGTTCTTGATAATGACTGAGACGGTCTAAAGTAGTTAGGCAACACACATGAACATCGATCAGTTTATCCAGAAATTCGATCTTGATATAAGATATCTTATTCGGAAATTGAAAAAAAATACAATTAAAATTAAACGAACAGACTTGGTCGCCGGAATTTAATAAAATTCGATTGGATGAATATTTTCTGATTTAATATACCTTGCACATGTAGCAATATATATAAATGAATAAATATTGATAGTGTGGACATGGGTATCAACAGCAGAATAATGGCAGTCTGTTTCATACCCTAGGAGATCTTCATTCGGCCTAAAAATGGCCTTGACGCATGAAACTGGCAGTCACCTTGCAATGTTGATATCAGATCTATTTATCAGCAGTACAAGCAGCTCTGATGCCTAAGTTTATCGCGTTTCGACCTGTAAACATTCCCGTAATTATAGAAAATTTATGGGAAATTCGAACGCCTGCCCTCCCTCACATACAGGGTGCGGTAGGAATATCTCCCATATATACCTACCAGAAATAACTCCCACATAATAGTAAGACGTTAGCTTGATAAAATTGCCGCTTGCCACTAATATTTTACCCTTATGTGGGATATATATCTGTGTGTGTGTGAAGAGGTGTATTCAATGGTATGTTGAATAGCTCCCGGCTCGATTCACATCCCAAATACTAGCCAAATGTTCAAATATAACATTTTTTTTTTTTATGTGTGTAGAAGAAATACGTTCTTGGTCAGACCAAGGAGATTTCCTCAATCTTTCGTAAGCACACACACACACACACACACACACACACACACACACACACACTGAGAATATATACTTATATATTGTGTACTTAGGCAGTAAACCTTCTTTTATGCAAGCTTCATTAAATATGACAGACAAGGTGCTTTGATTAAATGACAGACAAGTTGCTTTGATTAAATATTTTATATAATTTCTCATATGATCTCATATTTTTTCTCTTTTCAGCAGATAAATTATACAAAAACTGTTCAAACTTTTTATTTTTCCAAGCGCTTTCAGTTATTAAGATATTATATATAATACTTAAGCACTTTGTCTGTCATATTTAATAAAGCTTGCACACACACACATATATATATATATATATATATATATATATATATATATATATATATATATATATATATATAATATGATAAAGTTAATTGGCAATCCATATGGATAATTCCAGGGAGAATATAAATCCTAAAAGCTCAATGTAATAAACAAAGCAAGTAATAATTAATTAACAAATCGGGACTTCAGAAAGACATCAAATATATATATATATATATATATATATATATATATATATTGAACAATAAAATCTTCAGAGACACTTGCTTGTCGATTAATATTCTTTCGTTTTTATTATTTCATTTAGATTTCTTGACTAGTTTCGGCCAACATGGCCATCATCAGGAGAAAAAGTTTCTGCTTGCTTTTAGCAATGAACTACAGAAATGAATATCTTGTTCTAACTAAAGTTGCTTTCATAAAATTTGAATGCAGGAAGTTAATAATTTTCAAAAGAAGATACAACTAAAGTGTCTTATATTTCTAAT